ACTGTACCCATATGAAATTTTTATCATTTTTTTTGTGACAGAGCTTTATTTTGGTGGTATTTTAATCACCGCTGGGTTTTTTATTTTTTCTTACACCAAAAACCACTGAACATTTTGAAAAAAAATGTCTTTGTTTTTGTTATAAAATTTTGTAAATAAGTGATTTTTCTCCTTCACTGATGTGCGCTAATGAGGCTGCAGTGATAGGTGGCACTGATGAGGAGGCACTGGTAGGTGGCACTGATAAGCACTGACAGGCATCACTGATGGGCACTGATATATGGCACTGATATCTGGCACAAGGCACTGCTGGGGCTACACTAATCATCAGTGCCCTGATGATCAGTGTACATGTCCCCCCTCCGCGGAAAGCCGATTACCGACTCCTCTCCTCTGTCAGCCTGACGGCTCGAGAGGAGAGAAATGCCGATAACCGGCATTTCCCTGTTTACATGTGATCAGCTGTGATTGGACACAGCTGATCAGATGACCGAGCCAACATCTTCGGCTCTTTCTGCGATTGGTGATCCACTGTGTCCGAGGGACACAGCGCACCGCCGATTGCCGAGCGCCCTGAGCTGCGCATGCGCAATGAGAATGGGAGGACGTCATATGACGTCCTCCCAGAACGAGAGAACCACCTTGCATCCGTCATATTACTATATGGTGGGCGGGAGGTGGTTAAAATGGGTGAAAGGATTGTTTTCATAGGTCTCGTTTGTTTTAAAAGCGCCTCTGTCAGAATAAGAAAATGGAGAGGCACACAATGCAAAAGTATTTTTGGCTTGCCTGTAACTTCCTCACACCCCTGCCACACCCCCCCCCCCGAAAAGCAGCAGCTTACTATTGCTTTAAGGAACCATGGGGACCAGACAGGCAGCACAATCTGCATGATTCCTTGAACGATTGCTGTTACCAAGGAATTAAATGTAATAATCCTCTGGAAAGACTGTCTAAGGCAGAAATATGATCCTTAAAGTGTTCACTTTACAGGGTTGTACTTTACAGGGTTGTACAACGGGGACTGGGAGGGGGCTGAGAGGGTGTAGGCTTTAAGTGTTCAACATTTTGGAGAAAGAGTACTCACGGCCAGAGGAAATTGCAGATCAGACTGAGCCTGGGTTCACACTGATGCAGTGCAGAATTTGCACCAGTTTCTGTACGAATTCTGCACTGCATCATAACCGCACCCGCGTTCATGCGAACCGCTGCAGGTGTGTATGTTAACGCCCCGAAATCGGTTGGCAAAACAGTGCGATTTGTGCAGGTAGGCATGCTTGATATGCACAGACTCCATGAAGTCCTCTTACTGACGTGAAGCAATAATGAGCTGGGTGGACTTCATCCTAGACTTATGCACTCCCAATAATTTTTTGAGACCCTTTGAACTCTAGTATAGGCCAATTGACTTGGTTTTGGAACCGTAAAGGGCTTTGGGTTGAAGCTGTGAAAACTTCCCCCCTCCAGGACGAGTTGGTTGACTATGCTTCTTGCAGCGAAATTCAGCAAATCAGCATTTGAGCCACGGGATTCTGCTCATATGTACTGACATCGCCTAGCCTAGAGAGCTGCCGAATGGAATCCTTCAAAACATCCACTGAGAATTTCAAGGTTCTCCACTGTCAAATTTCAGGATCACCATGATCAGATTAGCTGGACTGGAGTATATATTTTGTCCATACTTTGAGCACTTGGCAGACCACCATCAGCTGCTGGGCTTGTCCCACCAAGGCGATATGGCCCTAAAGAGGACTTGAACCTCTTATCCATATCTACCCTAAAGCCCAGAATCTTTCCTCCCTGGACCCAGTAGTGGCTTGTTCAGGTAGGACATGGCCAGCTTTACGGCTGGAGAACTCCCCCATAGGGTATTGCTGCAAACTGCTTAGTAGGCAGAAACCTCTTCGTTGCAGAAGTGATGTATGCCAATTGGCTCATCCAAAGGACGATGCACAGGAAAAGATTTGGCAAGTTTAAGCAGCTGCCAGCACCCAAATCTAGTGATCTTCACAGAAGTGGTTTCTGGAAGTGACATTGTTTTCTGACCGCATCTGCCAAAAACCAACACTGGTCCTCTGTGTCTGTGACAGTCCTGAACCCTGAGCCTCTTGAGGACTCCTAAGGAGAACGCCTGATCCTCAGCAGGTTCTCCCTTCTCTTTCCACCCCAACATCCTTGACCACAGGATGGTCCAATGATACCTTCTCCTTCAGCTCTGGAGGAAAAGAGGGCCATCCCAAAGGAATAGCAACAGGCAACCCCGACTTTAAAGCAGAGTTCCACCCAAAAAGGGAAGTTCCGCTTTTTAAGATTGGTCCCCTGTTCCGTTCCTCCGTAAGGATTGGCAGCTTTTGGGGAGTGGGTATCCAAAATTGACAGGTACCCGCTCCCACTTCTGTGGCGATCGCTTAAGTGATCGGAAGCTGAAGTTGTCCTCCTAGCCTCCCTCCCCGTAATCTTCAGGAACACATGACAGGTCCCAGAAGACCGGGCTATTCAGGAGGTGCAGCGCTACTTGCACATGCGCAGTGGGCACCCGGCTGTGAAGCCGCAAGCTGTCACAGCCGGGTGCCCACACTGAAGATGCCAGCGACTGGAACACAGGACGGCCGGTGAAACGGGCTGCGGTGGAGGACACCACAAGCGAGTGGCTGTTTTTTAAAAGTCAGCAGCTACAGTTTTTGTAGCTGCTGACTTTTTTTTTTTTTTTACAGTGTGAGCAGAACTCGGCTTTCAGGGATACCAACTCCTTAGTCCACAGCTATGGACCCATTGCAAGCAATCGTTTGGTACCAGATACTATGGACCCATTGAGCAATCATCTGCAATCATTTTGGTACCAGATACTATGTATTCTGGTTAGCGCTGCTTGCAGAATCCAGTGCTAACTGGTAACATTAGACCTGCCCCCGATCTCTTGCTGCAGGATCTGGGTATTGATCCTCTGGGCCCCAAGGCCATAGGTGATTATTCTGGATAAAGCCCTCTTCCCTCACAAAGGTGTATGGAAATGGATAATCCAACACAACAAACGCTTTACTCCTGCGCTAGGAAAGGACTCAGTAGACCCAATAGGAATGTTCTGGAATATGCACTGCTTGCTGCCCTCAACAGACCGGGGTGGTCCAAATACACTGGATACAAGTGGAGAAACAGAAAAAGGGCGCACCGACCTAGTGCATTATCATTTAAAATAATTTATTGAAGAAACAAAATGGGTATCATACTCACAATGGACATAACACAGGCATGTCAAACTGAACAAGATGTATGATCCAAACAACATCTGAGTCCATACGATGGAACCCTGGATGACCAACTGGCTAACGCGTTTCGAGGACACAACCTCTTCCTCAGAGCCAACACTACTGGAGTCTGCACTTCTCTTTATATGACGGGTCATGTGATGTCAGGCTCCGCCTTCAGGTGGTTCTGATACAGCCCTTTTGTTACCATTTAGTAAATTGTATAAAGAGAAGTGCAGACTCCTGTAGTGTTGGCTCTGAGGAAGAGGTTGTGTCCTCGAAACGCGTTAGCAGTTGGTCATCCAGGGTTCCATCGTATGGACTCAGATGTTTGGATCATACATCTTGTTCAGCTTGACATGCCTGTGTTATGTCCATTGTGAGTATGATACTCTTTTTTGTTCAATTAAATTATTTTAAACGATAATGCACTAGGTCGGTGCACCCTTTTTCTGTTTCTCCATTTGTATCCATCGTATGGAAATGGATGGTTAAATCCATAGATTAAGCCCAAACAGATTTTCATATAGACTTCAGAGGCAAATCCACCACCGGAGGATACTTGCACAAAACTGCAGCTGTGCTGAGTGGGGAAACATCCTTTCTTTTTTTTTCCTTTCTTTTCTTTCTTTCTTTCTTTCTTTTTTTCTTTTTTCTTTTTTTTTTCTTTTTTTTCTTTTTTCTTTTTTTTTTCTTTTTTTTTTTTTTTCTTTTTTTTCTTTTTTCTTTTTTTTTTTTTCCTTTTTTCTTTTTTTTCTTTTTTTCTTTTTTCTTTTTTTTCTTTCTTTTTTCTTTCTTTTTTTTTTTTTTTTTCCTTTTTTTTCTTTCTTTTTCCTTTTTTCCTTTCTTTTTTTTTCTTTCTTTTTTTTTTTTCTTTTTTTTTTTTCTTTTTTTCTTTCTTCCTTTTTTTTTTTTCTTCCTTTTTCTTTTTTCTTTTTTTTTTTTTTTTTTCCTTTTTTTTTTTTTCTTTTTTTTTCTTTCTTTCTTTTTTTTTTTTCTTTTTTCTTTCTTTCTTTTTTTTTTTCTTTTTCTTTCTTTTTCTTTCTTTCTTTCTTTCTTTTTTTTTTTCTTTCTTTCTTTCTTTCTTTTTTCTTTCTTTCTTTTTTTTTTTTCTCTTTCATTCTTTCTTTCATTTTGGACAGCATGTCTTCTGCTGGGTACTGTGGCTCTCCCATTGACTACCACAACACTTCATGGCTCAGCAGTGATGTAACAGCCAGTAGAAGCAACCAGGGCACACAGCAGTAAATATGCTATACAAAACACCCAGAACTGTCATCGGCAGCCATGGCTCTTAAACCTAGTGAAGTTTTTGGACTTGCTGGAAAGGTAAGTATTCGTAATTGCCAAGTGTGGTGTTTTTTTTTTTTTTTTTTCTTGACAATGGAGCATATTTCAACTTTGGAAGATAAACTGTGGGCACTCCTGACTGTGGCTTAGAACATGGCCAGAATTTTAGAATGGGTTGCTGCATGTGAATAATCAGCTAATTTGAGCAAAATGTACATTTTCTATGAGTCCTCAAAACACTGTGTGGTGGTAGTAGACCCCCCTCAATCCCTCCAACCCCGGTGTTCTTTTCAAGAAATCAAAATGAGTTCTTGTCGCTATACTTTTAATACAGGATTCTATCTGGTTGATGTGCTCCTAAATCTGCTTTCATCTATGTCAGGGATCGCCCATCAGAACCCGTACTGGTTGCCCTTCAAAGAGACTGCTGTGAGGTTGGTCTATGAAATGGCAGAAGAGCCGGAGGAAATCTGTGCTGAATTGTTACAAAGATGTAGCCAGCAAGTTTTGCAAGAGCTGAACAACCAAGAAGGTAAGAGGATGATGTAAGGAAAGCTGTGAGATGAGGCCTCTGCTCAGCGAAATCCGTGTTTTTTTTTTTTTTTTTCCTATGTTTTAAAATCAACCCCTAGCCAGTACATGTAGCCAGTACATTTGTGGCAAATACAGTGATAGCCCCCCATCTCTACCTCCCATGACCACAATCAAACCCAAGAGACCACCCAAGTCTGCAAGCGACCAAGAATGGGGGTTAATTTTTAACCCAAATGACTCAAGGACTTCTATGATTGGGTTAGGATTTTCTATAGACCTGAATCCAAGCTGTCCAACAAAATGGACAGGGATAGAGGCGTGAATTTAAAGGGTGTTTTTTATATTTTCAATACCCGTTGCTGCAGTTACTCAAGAACATAGGTTGTGAAGTTGATCCTGTTGGAATCTGTCTAAATACTTTTTACAACACACCAGTTATGCATTTTTAGGATCCCACAAAAAATAGAAAAATAAAAATGTGTCCGTCAGGTACACCCTCGTTCTTTTAAAGTGATAAAGGCTCAGTTTAAATTTAAAAAACTTTCTACTTACCTGCTCTGTGTAATGGTTTTGCACAGAGCAGCCCTGATCCTTCTCTTCTGTGGGTCCCTCATCAGCGCTTCTGGCTCCTCCCTCTTGGGTGCATCCAGAGTAAACTGCTTGCTATGGGGGCACTCAAGCAGGTGCTCTTCTAAGCCACTGCCCTATATGTCCATTCACACATGGAGCTGCGGCTCGACCCTACCCCTGTTATTAGCTCACTAGCTGTGATTGACAGCAGTGAAAGCCAATGTCTCAGCCAAATGAAGGCAGCAAGCAGAGACTCTCGTTGGGTCTCATGGTGAGTATTAGGGGGGCTAGGGGGGACTGCTGCACACAGAAGGGGTTTGTTTTTTTTTTTTTTTTTTTTTGTCATGCATAGGAATGCAAATAGGTAAAAGTCCTTCAGCCTTTACAACCACTTTAAAGGGGACTGTCTAAGCAGTTTGGACTAAAATTTTAAACAACATTGAGTTGCGTGTTCAAGAGTCCATTGGGAGGGTCTCTTTTGTTGTACTGAGAAATGGGTGTGAAAAAAACTTCCAATAGCTTTTGTACTTTTTCTGGTAAGGGGCAGTTTAGTCTGAATATAGAAAAAACACTTATGAAATTATTATTATACAGGATTTATATAGCGCCAATAGTTTGCTCAGCGCTGTACATTATAACTTTATAATGGGAGACAGTACAGTAACAATGATTCAATACATGAGGGGTTCGAGGGCCCTGCTCCTTGGAGCTTACAATCTAGGAGGGAGGGGATAGTGGTACAGGAGGAAATAGCTGTGGGGGATGGAGTGGTAGGAGGAGTGGAGGAGGTCGGCAATTAGCTGAGGGCGGGGTAGGCTTCCCTGAAGAGATTTTCAGAGTGTGCCTAAAGGTGAGGAGGGTAGGTGATAGCCTGATGGATTGGAGTAGGGAGTTCCAGAGGATGGGGGGGGAGAAGTCCTGGAGACTGGCATGGGAGGAAGAGACCAAGGAACTAGAGAGTAGGAGGTCCTGTGAGGAGCGGCGAGTACGTTTTGGGTGGTATATGGATATCAGGTCGGTGATGTAGTTAGGGGCAGTGTTATGAACAGCTGTATACGTCAATGTTAGTATTTTAAATTATATCCGTTGGGCAATCGGAAGCCAGTGGAGGGATTAGCAGAGGGGTGGGGGGGGTGGCGGATACGGAACGGTTGGTAAGGTGGATGAGTCTGGCCGCAGCATTCATGATAGACTGAAGCGGGGATAGCCTGCGGTGAGGTAAACCGATGAGGAGGGAGTTACAGTAGTTGTGAAATTTATAAGTTATTAGTGTTTATGTAATGCCCCGTGTGTGTGTGTGTGTGTGTGTGTTTGTGTGTGTTTTTTTTTTTTTTTTTTTTTTTTTATTTATTTTGTGTTTGTGGTTTTTTTTTTTTCTTTCTTTTTTAATGGAAAATGCAGCGTTGCTTTGTTTGCGCCTTTAGCAGTTCATGTGGACACAAGGCAGTTAAGCTGGTTTTTATTTAATTTTTTTTTTTTTTTGTCTTCTTTCTGTAGAGTCTGTCATTCCTGCTTTCCTCCTCACCCATCTGCTGTCTCTAGCTGGAGATGTGGCCTTACATCTGGTGGTACATCTGGAGTGCACTGTCAGTGCAGAGCTCAGGAGGCATAGGCTGTTGAAGGAGGAACAGGAAGCTGAGAAATTGGGAAAGAACAAGCGGAGAAAGTCTAAGGTAAGTGCTGGAGGGTGTACAATACAAAATGCCAGCCATCAGGATTTCTAGTCTTGTGCAGTGTGAGAGGATTAGAGCGCCTGTTTGGTTTTTGTCACCTCAGACACAGGTGAGGGGAAATTCTTATAACTTTTTTGTATTTAGAACATTTTTCCTGCATTGAGATTTCCATTCCCTCCTTGTTCTCTGAGATCCCTAAAATTTCTTTCTTGGTAGAACAGTTAGTGACCAATGCTAACAGATGGCGATGGGGAAAAAAAAATTGAGCTAACGCTTCCACACACACCAGCCAAAACTAGATAACTTTCACTTTTTCCCTACCGTGTTATAGCCGAAAGATGGCTAGAACGCGGTTGTCTAGCTCTGGGACGACATCCATGGATGTCATTCCAGAATGCGCCACGCCCGCCCCCAGCGGCGTGCACCCAGCACCAGCGGTGATAGCTTTGTCCTACGGACACAGCTGATCACATGATATGGTAAATGGCCAATCACAGCGGCTTTTCACCATGTGATCAGCTGTGTCCAATGACACAGCAGATCACCAGCTGTCGCAGCATAAGGAAAGTACTGCGGATGACCGGCAATTGTTAGAAAAATTGATCATCAGAGCACGGAGTGCCCAGCAATGCCGCCCATCAGTGCAGCCTCAACACACATCGGTGAAGGAGAAAAATTACCGGTTTGCATAAAATTTTGGGGGGAAAAAGTTTGTTTCTATTTTATTTTTTTGCGCTATAAAAACTGCAAAATTTTATAACACACCCAGCAGCGATTAAATATCACCAAAGGAAAGCTATTTTGTGTTAAAAAAAAAAAAGATAAACATTTCATATGGGTACAGTGTTGCACGACCACGCAATTCATTCAAAGTGCGACAGTGCTGAAAATTGGTCTGGGCAGGAAAGGGGTAGAAGTGCCCGGTAGGCAAGGGGTTAATATAGGAATAAACAATATTAAAGGAAGCTTGTACTGAACAGGTAAGCTGGCATTGCTGGTCTGGAAATTTTACACTTTTGCCTCTAAACTCGATATGACTGGGAGCAAAAAGGCCGCTAGGAAATTAGGAACTCCTGCTCTCTGCATGGTCAAGTTTTGAAGGCGCTGGGTCATATCCGTGAACACGAGTTGTACTTTCTTTGGCTAAGCCACCAACAGCTTTTGTATCACTTAACTACTTCAAGGCCAGACATTTTTTTTTTTTTTACCCCCTTCCTGTCCAGGCCATTTTTTTCAGCACTGTCGCACTGTGACAATTGCGCGGTCATGCAACACTGTACCCATATGAATTTGTTAGCATTTTTTTTTTTTTTTTTTTTTTGAGACCGATAAAACTTTATTTTGGTGGTATTCACCACTGGGATTTTTTTTTTTTTTTTTGCTATATAAATGAAAGTCAAAAAATGTAGTAAAGTGTTTCTTATAAAAAAAAATTTCAAATAAATAATATTTCTTCATAAATCTTGGCAAATGTATTCAGTTATCTTTTTAGTAAAAAAAAAAAAAAAAAACCTAAATTAGTTTAACCAAAAATTATTTTTTCAAAAATGTTTTAGATTTTTTTTTTTTTTTTTTAACATACTGTCACCCTAGCAGTACAGTGACACTATACTACTTGTGGGGGGGTGATGACTTCTCTGACTGCATTCTTGCAGCCATTGAGAAATACTGTGTGAGCTGTGATTGGTCACAGCTTGTCACATGGTACAAGGCTGTTGTGCATAGCCCTGTACCCTGTGATCATTCACAGATTTCACAAGTAGTAAGCAATATCAGGAAGTGACATCTTACTTACTACTATTCATGTGATCACTGATTGGCCAATCAGTGATCACATGATCAAGTCCTCACGCAGAGGTCCTGTACGGCAATCGGGCACTGGATCACGGTGCCACGCGCTCCCAGAGAGCACGCACAGACTGAAAATGCGGGCACCATTTATGAACGGCAACTCGCACCTGCCTTGCTCCCGTCCAGCCGTTTATGTACATGGGCCGGACAGCAAGTGGTTAAAGTACCAAAGGTTAAATTTCCTGGTTCTTATCCTGTCCCACTTGGGAGTTTTTGGGTGAACATATTGCTCCTGTTTTCCCTCCTTCAAGCGGTCCAAAGAGTTCTTCCATTGCACCTAAGTAGGGTTTGCGGTTGGGCTCTTCCTTCATGCCATACCTCCGGTACCCAATTTTTAGTGCGTCACTTGAGTTACACACAGTGGTTCTGGCTAACAAACTTCTAAATTTGTTAAAGTCCTGAATTCATCAAAAGAAGTGTTTTGCCTGTAAAGACTTGTAATAGAATAGTCCTGAACCTGGCAGAAAATGTCTGTCATCCTGTGCTGTGTCCCTTCAGGGCAATGAGAGTATGGGAGAAGACATGGGGCTGGTCGGTGTGTCGGCTGATGATGCGGATGCTGAACTCATCCAAAAGATTTGTGAAAATGAACTTCTGAATAGTAAGTGTTTAGATTTGGTTTTGTTTACAAATCTGTCTGTCTGAAGGTGGTGTGTAGAAATAAGCTCAGTGACCTCATATTTTGTCATCCCTTAGCCCAACAATGTCTCTCTGCATTCCTGCCTCTGGTGCTCAAGGTGTGTAAGAATTCTGGAAAAGACAGCGATCCTGCCCTGTGCACAGCCGCCACCCTTGCCCTTACTAAGTTTATGATGATCAGGTAAGGTTAGGGAATTATGTTGCCTTTTTATTCTATATTTTGCTGAATGGCTCTATAATCGTGTTCTGCCTCTTCTCCAGCTCAGATTTCTGTGACTCCCACCTGCGTCTTATTTTTACTCTCCTGGAGAAGTCATCTTTGCCTGCTGTCCGCTCTAATATTATGATTGCGCTGGGAGATCTCAGCATCCGCTTCCCAAATCTCATTGAACCGTGGACTCCGCACCTCTATGCAAGGTAAACCAGAACCGTAAATTGTTTTTGGGTTTGTTTTTTTTTTTTTTGTTTTTTTCTCCCCCTTACTTGAAAACGCAAGTTATACTTTCCTAAGTCCCCCTTCCAGATCCCTCACCCTCCAGGTGTAGGGGGCACTAATCCACATTCTGATTGGCCACCTACTGTCCCCTTGTTATGTCACTCCCTTTCTAAAGTCTGAGAGGACCTCAAAACCAGATGGTAAATAGGAGGTGAAGATAATAAGAAAAAAATTGCCATATTAATCGAATATATCCTTCTAATATCTCCGACTCACTTCTAATATAGGTGTCCGTTTATGAACCAGCGGTAATAGATCGCTGCTCAGTTCTCCGGCATTCTCGGAGAACACAGTTCTCCTGTGAATGCAGTTTATGAAGCAGTTCTCCGAAGGAAGGGAGAACGATCTCCAAACGCTGGAGAACGGTCTACAAACTCTGGAAAACGGCTGATTTTACTATAATCTCGCGACGAGATAACAGTAAAAGATCAGTTTACTAAGCAGAGGTAAATTATCTCTGCTTAGTTTTCGGTCCCTCTGATTTTCCAGCTCTGGGCTGGAGAATCTGGAGGGAGAACACAGATCTCCAGGGAAAGGCTGAACATATTCTCCTGGGTGTTATAAACTGTGAATGACCAGAGAATAGCTGTGATCCTCTGAATCTCAGCTATTCTGTGTGTCATAAACAGACACCTAAGTGTGGATTGTAAACCCAGCAATACTATGAAAAACAAAATGGCAGTTGACTAGTGCAAACCTGCCTAAAAGATGGTTTATCTTAAATCCTATGCGGACTAATATATCACTACATTGTTGAATGCAATGTTGAATTTATTTGGCCTCATAGATAGTAGAAAAGGTGAACATGGTACAATCATGTTTTAAAATCAAAGAATTAAATTAAAGAACCGTTCGGCGTCTTCAAGATGGCTGTATGGGCAAAAGTAATCAATACGAGGCTGTAGGGATTCTTCTGTGTTCATCAGATTAAATTTCCATACTTGATGACCTAGTAAACTCGTTCTCCTCTTTAACTGTTCCTTAATGAACATCAAAAAATGTATGAAAGGTTCCTAGGAATAAATTGTGGATAATCACAAATTCAGAAGAATCAAATAGCTTATCATTTCAGCCTAGTAGGATGCACATATGCAGGTTAAGTGGGTGATTAATAATCATCTCATTACCTTCTGTGTGAGTGTACCATATCTTGTAGGTATGGATATTCTTGTGTAAGCAGAAATGGTGGAAAATAATCCAAAGAGCTGGATTTGTAATGGTAAAGTTTCTAAAATGAATAAAAAATCCAGTGAATTGATACATAAGTGTTGCTCATATATTAATATAGTGAATTTACCATAGTGAAAACCTGATCAATTCCCACTGGTGAAGTGAAGAGCATTCATATATGGATGATGATGATGATGAAGTCCAAAAAATATTATGGGAGTCTCTATAAATTGCATTCAGATATTCATGGTTCCTTTTTTATATTTCAATATTTTTATTGAGAAACAAGCATATTAAAGCGTAAAACAAGATGGCAAACAATAAAAGAGAAAAAAAAAAAGGGCCCACCCGCATGGTGGAACAAGATGTAGAATCATAATCATAACACTGGTAGGTACATAAAAAGATTAGCAGACAATAGCATTACAATTCACACAAAAAGTGTCATAGCCATCAGAACATGCAGGTTTCATAGATCAATAAACAAAAATTAAACCAAAATGAACCAAAAATAACAGAGAAAAAAAAATGTTTCAACGAATAGTAGAAAAAGAGAGGAAGAGAGAGATGAAAAGGAAAGTACTCTTAAGTGAAAGAGAGAACAAAAAAAAAAATATAAGGGGGGGGGTTAGCTGCCATACACACACGATACAGTAATATAATTAATCCAAGGATCCCAAGTCCTCTCAAATCTGGACACATAATCAGTGACAATACTCGTCAGTTTATCATTAACCATTATCCAGTTGAGTTTTTGTTTCACTCTATCCAGCGGGATCAAGGATTGTTTCCAACTTCTAGCTATGATATATAAAATGAATTGAATCGATTTTTTTTGGGAACATCTAAGGGTAGTATATTAAACAAGGCCACTTCCAGCGATCTACGGATATTAATTCCTGTCACTGAGTAAAGAAAATTTAAATATGCGGATCCAGAACCTACTCACGACTGGACATTTCCACCAGATGTGGAACATGGTACCCTCTTGACCACAGCGTCGGAAACAGCCAGATGAAACGGAAGGATACATTATGGCTAGGCGAGCAGGAACCAAATACCAGCGAAGTAGCGTTTTGTAGTTAGATTCAACAAGATCAGTGTTAATCGACATCTTCGATAGGGCATGGGCCGCAGTCCACTAGGTATCCAAATCTAATGAACTATTTAAATCCCGTTCCCATAGAATCATGTAAGATAATTTAGTTAGGGGATCAACCAACGAAGCATAAACAATGGACAAGCGACCTCGCATCATCCCACTTGCCCCACAGGAGACCTCGAGGGAAGTAAGCGCACAAGGTTCTGTGAGTAGTCTAAGTTTGCTATCAATAAAAGAGCGAAGTTGATGGTAACGAAATATCTCTCCACGAGGCATCCCACAAAAATTCACAAAATAATGAAGAGACCGAGGGCGAACCCCATCCAAATAATCCCCAATACGTAGCAACCCCCTATTAATCCACCATTGGAACCTCACGAAAGATAAACCCGGGGCAAACTCAGGATTACCAAACACCGGAGCCAACGGGGTATGCGGAGAGAAGAAAGGTTTACGAGCTCGCCATCTATCCCACACTGACAATGAATAGGATAGAGTAGGACACAAAATAGGAGGGCGCAATCTACTGGGAAGCCACATGAGACTACCAATAGCATATGGACGGCACGAAAGAGCCTCAATCCCAACCCATTGGGGGAAATATCCCCTGGCTGTAGTACAAGATAGTTGTGCTATTTGGGCTGCCTGAAAGTATGCGAATCATGGTTCCTGTTTAGATGTGCCCCTCTAGGGATTCTTAACCACTTCCCAACTGGCCGTTGTATATAAACGGCCGGACGGTGGCACTGCAGGGTCGGGTGGCCGTCTATAAACGGCCTCCCCGCACCCTGCTTGTGCGCGCTCCCTGGGAGCGCGCAGCACCGCGATCCGGTGCCCGCTGTGTCCTCCGGACACAGTGAAACACCGATCGTCGGACGGGACCTCTGTACGAGGTCCCGATCATGTGATCACTGATTGGCCAATCAGTGATCACATGCAAAGTAGTAAGCGAGATGTCACTTGTGACATCATTGCTTACTATGTGTGAAATCTGTGAATGATCACAGAGGTCACATGGTACAAGGCTATTCACAAAAGCCTTGTACCATGTGACAAGTTGTGACCAATCACAGCTCACTCTGTATTTCTCAATGAGTGCAGGAATGCACACAGAGAGAAAGAGAAATGATTGCTTTTACATCCTATATGGGTGTAAAAGCAATCAGTGTAAAAAAAAAAAAAAATCTTTATCACCCCTCACAAGTAGTACAGTGTCACCATGGTGACACTGTACTGCTAGGGTGACAGTATGTAATAAAAATAAAAAATAATAATGTAAAAAAAAATGTTAAAAATTATAATTTTTGCTTATAAACTAATTTGGATTTTTTTTTTTTTTACTAAAAAGATAACTGAATAAATTTTGGCTAAGATTTATGATGAAATATTATTTATTTGCAAAATTTTATAAAAAAAAACACTTTTTTAAAAATTTTTTGGACATTTCATTTACATAGCAAACAAAATACAAATCCCAGTGGTGAATAAATACCACCAAAATAAAGCTTTATCTATCTAAAAATAATGGTAAAAAATTCATTTGGGTACAGTGTTGCATGACCGCGCAATTGTCATTCAAAGTGTGATAGCGCTAAAAGCTGAAAATTGCCCCGGTCAGGAGGGGGTAAAAGTGTCCGGTCTGGAAGTGGTTAAACTTCCTCTTATGTAAGAGCTGATGCGGTTCCTATGGAGGTTCGGGAGACTATTGTCCCATATCAAAACACACGGTATAAATATACCTATAGAGGTAAATAGGAGGTGTCCACATCACATAGCGATGTAAACACCCAAAGAAGGGCAGTAGTAATGTAGCCCCTGCGCAAAGATGCCCCCGGGAAGGCAGCGTCACCAATACCTGTGTGTTAATCTTCGCCCACCCCCACCAATTTGATTTCCCTAACAAGAATGATTGGTAGCTTACAGGCCATTTATTTAGGGAGGATGCATGAATTGGACCCTAGATGACTGCCCTCTATATAATTTTAGTACCAGTTGTACATTGTGCACCGAGGTTCACTATACCAGTTCAAGTATTACAATGTCATATCTCAGTTTTATTTTCTTCTGCCAAAAGGCAGTGCTTAACGGCAAATATTCTGGTACCAAAAGACATGCTGCCTTTTATTCACTCCAGTTCTTCTCATACAGACTCCGAGATGAGTCCCGGGAAGTTCGTAAAACCTCCGCCATTGTAATGACCCATCTGATCCTGAAGGACATGGTCAAAGTCAAAGGACAAGTCAGTGAGATGGCCGTTCTTCTCATCGATGCTGATCAAGAGATCTCCTCATTGGCCAGGAATTTCTTCACCGAGCTGTCCAACAAGGTGTGCCGAGTGAGATGTTTTTGGGGTAAATGTCAACCACTTACAAAGAGAAATTGTTTACTAGTCTTTTCTTTTGTGCCCCCAGGGCAACGCTGTTTACAACCTTTTACCTGATATTATCAGCCGCCTGTCTGATCCGGACTGTGGAGTGGAAGAAGAGGCTTTTCACACCATAATGAGGTGACTACAAGGGGGTTATTCTGACACCGTTCTCCTGTAAAAGGTTTTATCCAAAACTTTTTCTTTCTGCTCACAAATCTTTGCACTGATCATTACATCTCATTAATACCTTCCTCTTCATATCACGTCAGGCTGCCGCCATCTTTTGTTCCCTAAATGTTCCTTCGCAGAAACAGACTCCTATTTTTTTTTATGATTTTCCAAAATTTGCTAGAACAAGGAATTTTATTTCATCCCGGCATGTTTTCTTACTTTGATACTGCACTTGTATGCTTTGCCAGCAGGGGTCCTCAGCACCAGCAAATAAAGCGGAAGGTCCTCTTCATGTGATAATGGGTGTGAATGTGTTGATACAGCAATATTGACTGTTTTGGGGGAAATGTTCTGGTTTTTGTAGTTGGCAAAGTTTTTAAATGCTGCAACGAAGAGTGCCTCAGGCTGTCATGTAGGCAGCCTGACGTGACATGAAGAGGGAGGTATAAATGAGATGTAGTGATCAATGCAAAGATTTGTGAGTTGAGGTTGTAATGTCCTTTTTTCGGCACAATCATTCTTTAGAATTGTGGGTCGTGATCCCTTTGGGGGTCGAACGACCCTTTCACAGGGGTCGCCTAAGACCATCGGAAAACACCTATTTCCAATGTGTAGAAAGCAGCTGCTGTGTAGAAAGCAGCAGTATTGGAGGTAAAACCGCACTTCATGAATTATAATTACTGGGTAAATTAATTTTATGGTTGGGGGTCACCACAACATGAGGAACTGTATTAAAGTGTCGCGGCATTAGGAAGGCTTACCTAGAGGTAGAGCTGCTCTACTCAAGGGAGCTGCCAGAGGATGAATTGGGGGTGTCAGATGAAGGAACCACACACACCCCATCCTGCTATGCCTGCAGGATCAGGAGATGATGCGGCTCCCTCTTATGGGATCCCAGCTTGGAATGCCAAAAGCGCAGAAAAACGGCTCATGACGTCATCACGCCTGGCCGTGGACGCTATTCTTAGCGGAATACTAATATATGTAACTGATGTGTATGGTGTACATTCCTATAATAAAGTGATTTTAAAAAAAATATATTTTTGGCGCAGTGCCTGTAAAGTCCGCAAATAGCCTTTGCTTTGTGTTCGAATTATTAGGTTTAATGTTATGGGGCGTGGCACATAGGAGCCTATTATATCCCCCTACAGTTAGTCGCTCTGTACGGGATATTCATTCATGTTATCATGCTTTAGAACGCTTGTCGCACCAAACGCACATGCTCCTTGTTGAACAAGTGTAGATGCAAATGTATCTCATTTTCATGTTTTCAGCAAATACTTAATACTAGGTTAATTCCCCTGACTGGTCAGCTTGTGGGGTTGATCCGCAGATGTTCCCCTACTGCTGTTTAGAACAGAACACAATGGTTTCAAACTATGCCTTCTGTCCTTTAGTGTGATGCATAACCGTGAAAGGTCACATTTAAAGCCAATCTACAAGTTAGGTTTACCCGGGGAGCGGAGTTCCCCCACACTGCATAGGTTACATGCTCTATTGCATTTATTTCTTTTTCATCCCAAGCAAAATTCTTACGTTGTTCTTCACTCCCCTGGCAATTGTCCCATGGCTCCGTAGATGTTAAGTCTTTGCCATCGTCTGGTATACTGCAGGACTAGCAGTCCTACTTTGTATGTCATTGGAGAGCTGCAACTAGCTGGACATTGGGGGACTGTTTGCACAGAGGAGAGAGCCTGCAGGACACAGGAATAAGCAAGAATTTGTCGTCCCATTTCTTCCAGCCAAACCAGCCTTAAACTCATGGAGTGAAGGGGGAGCTGGGCCCACTACATAGAAAGATAGAACCGCAGCCTGCAGTGGGGCTTTGTTGCTCCTTTTGCTCAGATCTATGCTATGCATCCTCCTGTGTACTGCATAGTCTCTTCAAACTTCTCCTGGTCTGCTCTTCTTCTTGCATGTTCATGTTGCCATCTCCATTCCCATGGCAAGTCTGTACTGCAGTCATACCAACACTGTACAGACTTTCTATTGGGACAAGCTGGGATTGCGATTTATTTTTTTTTTTTATTTTTTTTTTTTCCTTTTCCTTGCCCCTTTTTTCCTTTCCTCTTCTTCCCCTTTCTTTCCTCCTCCTTCCCCTTTCTTTCCTCTCCTTCCCCTTTCTTTCCTCCTCCTTCCCCTTTCTTTCCTCCTCCTTCCCCTTTCTCTCCTCCTCCTTCCCCTTTCTTTCCTCCTCCTTCCCCTTTCTTTCCTCCTCCTTCCCCTTTCTTTCCTCCTCCTTCCCCTTCCTTTCCTCCTCCTTCCCCTTCCTTTCCTCCTCCTTCCCCTTCCTTTCCTCCTCCTTCCCCTTTCTTTCCTCCTCCTTCCCCTTTCTTTCCTCCTCCTTCCCCTTTCTTTCCTCCTCCTTCCCCTTTCTTTCCTCCTCCTTCCTCTTCCTTTCCTCCTCTTCTTCCTCTTCCTTTCCTCCTCCTTCTTCCCCTTCCTTTCCTCCTCCTTCTTCCCCTTCCTTTCCTCCTCCTTCTTCCCCTTCCTTTCCTCCTCCTTCTTCCCCTTCCTTTCCTCCTCCTTCTTCCCCTTCCTTTCCTCCTCCTTCTTCCCCTTCCTTTCCTCCTCCTTCTTCCCCTTCCTTTCCTCCTCCTTCTTCCCCTTCCTTTCCTCCTCCTTCTTCCCCCCTTCCTTTCTCCTCCTTCTTCCCCTTCCTTTCCTCCTCCTTCTTCCCCTTCCTTTCCTCCCTTCTTCCCCTTCCTTTCCTCCTCCTTCTTCCCTTCCTTTCCTCCTCCTTCTTCCCCTTCCTTTCCTCCTCCTACTCCCTTGTTGAATTTTTAAATCAAATTATAGACTTGTGCTTTGGGAAAGAGAAGTGGAAAAGCCCCATCACCCTGCTGCACTTCAAAGCTGGAAGCCCAAGATTTCTATGCAATGCAAATATGGCCGACCTCTGTGGTTTTTTTTTTTGTTTTGTTTTGTTTTGTTTTGCTTGTTTTTTGTTTGTTTTGTTATATCTTCCCTTAAGCTACCAAAGTAGTACTTTAAACACCAGAGATACATATTGAAAGCAAGTGCAAACATGAAATGGGTTTCTACACTTGACCGGCCCCTCCTCCTTTTACAGACAACGGTCTCCTTATTTTCCTTTTCCGCTCCTGGGTGGAAAAGTGTATGGTGTGTGGTTTTTTTTTTTTTGTTTTTGTATACTGTGACAACTGTTCGAGTAAAATTTTTATGTTCTGGTATGTGTTAAAATACAGTAAGGTTTTGACTTGTTGCCCAAAAGAAGGAATATACCCTTCGGGGGGGGGGGGGGGGGGGGGGGGTCCCTTACCTCTGGCCTAGGCTTCAGAAAGTATTGCAGAGTATTTCTATACTGAAGTGACTATCTTCTTTTTTTTTTTTTTTTTTTTTTTTTTCGTATTTGTTGTTTATTCTTCTCAGGCATCTCCTCTCCTACATCACGAAGGACAAGCAGACTGAGAGTTTGGTGGAGAAGATGTGCCACCGCTTCCGAACTGCCAGGTGAGAGCTGACAAAGATGAGGGTTAATGTTTGCCCCTAATTACACTGCTGAATGCTGTACTAACCTTGCTTTAAAAAAAAAAAAAAAAATCTGACACTTCTGGAAGTGTCAGAGGCGTCTGTGTTATGAGATTTCCACAGGCCCCTGCCCCTTTACAGGGTGGAACCGCTTCTGTCTGACCACTTACAGAGCTCAGCAGGGGATCAGGCATCTGACCTTCCCAGAAGTGCCCGATTCTGAAACCAGTGAAGGTCATCGGCACAGGAAGGATAAGAATTGTATTCCTTTTAGCAACTGTCCCTTTAAAGCGTAACTAAACCCTCTCCTCACCTCCTACCCTTTCTATCCATCTAGGGTGGAGCTAGCTATTACCTTAGGTTCATATCTGCGGGTGGTGCCGCTGCGGATCCACACTAAAATCCGTGCAGCCGCACCACCTGCACAGAGGAATGCGGACCCATGGGCGGGTGCCATTAGTTCTAATGCCACGCCGCCCGCACTGGAAAATGCAACCGTACTGGGAACCTCGGCTGCGTTTTCCAAAGAAGTGCAGGGACTTCTTCCCTGCGTGTCACGGGAGTCCATTCAAATGAATGCGATCTCATGCCCATGAAAAACACAGCCCACACGGCCGCATATATGTGAACCGGGGGTCAAAGCTGAACTAGAGCCTACTATCTTTTACAGCCAAGAAAGCTGCCATCTCAGCCTCTGTTTTGATCTGCAGTTGCCATAGTGCTGCACATGTGATTGGCTTGACAATTCGGTTGGGAGCACAAGCACATGTGATGGTTCTCATTCATGGCTGCCTTGTAACGGTTTTGGGAAACCGCTAAATAGATTGGTTTAGTTCTGCTTTACGATGTGCAGTTGGTGCTGCACACAAGCATTTGTTTGGGTTAAATAAGTGTTTCTCAATCGGGGTCCAACAGCGATCTACCCATCAAATCGCCCGTCGCTGGTGAGTATATCGCATCCGTGCTGCTTACACGCCCCTAAACGGTGTCTCCGCTCTTCACGCTCTATTTCAGGGGTTCCCCCAGATCTCATACTTTTTTGCCAATTTGTTCCTCCAAGGTAAAAAGACCGGCTTAAATTGATCAGGTAAGGGCAGACATGAGCGCGCTGGCACCTGCGTAATAGTTTGCCTAGAGGGGTGCTGTGAATGTAGCATACAGTGTTCATGCACTAGTAGGAAGAATGTAACTATAAATACACTAAAACACTAGTATTTTTCACTATAAATTCACTTTTTATTGAACACTTTACCCTGAGTTATCTTTTAGAAAATTGGTTCGATCAGTGGAGTTCCACGTTAACCCCTCGCCCTCCAGAGGATTTACCTCCCCTTCCTGACGGGCCATTATTTTTTTTTTTCGATACGGCACTGCATCGCTTTAACTAATTGTGCAGTCATGCAACACTGCACCCGAGTTTACGTCCTTTTTTTTTTCCCT